ACTTCCATCTCAAAGGGTCGTCTTCTTTTTGGTCCCACACTCTGTTCCCCTTCCTCAGTGGAACCACCTGTTACTCTCACGCTGGCCCCCCACTAGCTGGAAAATAGCCTCTTTCTACCTTCCTCCACCCCTGCTGTCCGCCAGGCCCCAAGCCGTTCCTCCTCATCTCACATTCAAACATTGCCCCTGTGCCTTGCTAGGCAATCAGTGGCTATTTTGATAACTTTATTCATCATCCACTAAAAAGAAAAAAAATTGAGCACCAATTAGGTGTGAGGTACATTCTATATGAAAAGGCTACCTTTCGTAATAGATAGATTTCCAGTTCTTTCACAGAATAATTCACAATGTAGCGACAGAGGCAGGACATGAAAGCAGATAAGCTAAGTACAAAGCAAAAAATGGCTAGTGACATAAAAAAATAAAAGGCACAGATAAGGCCCTGCAAGACTTCATTTTTAAAAATGCAGGTGAAACTGGCATGTAATTCATGCGCCAAGTGCTGGGCTGGGTAGAGTGCCTGCCTTAGCTCATCTGTCATGGCCAATCCCTCCTTGTCCTTTAGGAATTTGTTCAAGTGTCACCACACCCGGAAAGCCTTCCTTGACCCTTGACCCTCTGCCCTTTCTCTATGCTTCTACAATCACAGCTCTATCAAATCACAGGGTAATTTTTGGTTTATTAGCTATCACCCCAGAAGACGGTAGGCACCTGGGGTTGGAAGATGGCGCCTCATCTTTGTGTGTCTTCTGTGCTTAACTCTGAGTCTTATGTGTGTCAGTCCCTTAGGGAGGGAGGAAGAAACGGATGGGCAGACGGCTCTATGGATGGAGGGAGGGGATACGATTACAGCATAATAGAAACAAGGGTACAATGTGAGTAACGTGAAATCCAGAAGGCAGGAGGTGGGCTCCTGGAACTGCAGGGGTGCAGCAGGGTTGGGATAAGAGGCAAAAGATAAATACGATCTGAAGAGAAACTAGAGTATCGGATTATCTTTCTAAAAGCAGAGTATGAATGTCTTAATAACTAAGAAAATGACACGAAGGCTACGTTAACCAGTTTGATGAGAGTATTTCAGATTTTATATGAAAACATCACACTGTATTCCATAATTCCATTAATGTACCCAGCTATGATTTAATTTTAAAAAAAAAGAATGTGAGCAGGACAATGGCAGGTGACAACAGAAAACAGTTTGAGGCTGGGTGGTGGCTTCCACCTGTAATTCCAGCACTCTGGGAGGCCAAGGCACATAGATTGCCTAAGCTGAGGAATTTGAGACCAACCTGAGCAAAAGTGAGACCCCGTCTCTAAAAATAGCCAGGCATCATGGTAAGCACCTGTAGTGGGAGCCCCTCAGGAGGCTGAGTCAAGAGGATCGCTTGTGTCCAAGAGTTTGAGGTTGCTGTGAGCTATAACGCTGCAGCACTCTCCAAGGGTGACAAAATGAGACTCTCTGTCCAAAAAAAAGGAAACAGTTTGGAGGCTCTTGAATGCCAAGTGAAGGCAGACGGACCCCCACAATAGATGGTAGAGAGCCACAAGTGGTTGATGAACTGGGAAAAATGAGATCAGAGCTGTGTTTTAAGAAGATTTATGGTTGGGCACCCATACTCAGTGATTAGGGCACCAGCCAC